AAATAATAATTGTTTAGATAAAAAGATGCTTTACTAAATTCTCTAGTCTTTCATTTCAGAAAAAGGAATCTAAATCTGCTTTTTGAACAATAGACCCAAATTATCCAAATAAATAAATAAGATACCTTTGTCAAGTAACTCGAATATTTCCCATTTTTATGATTCTTTGTGTATATCCTTATGGTTGAAATGTGCTGCAGGGGACTCGGCTTGGAAGTTCAGATCCCAAGGGATGTTTCAGTGAGTACTTTTTACTCATTGCTGGCTTGTTTTTGAAATCTTATGCTGCATTCAAGCTTCTTCGGATGATACTTTTCACTTAATATTTGTTGTTGAACAGGACATGTTTAGGGAATGTCCTTTATGGAACTTAAAACAGTTAACCATGTTTAATGCTTTCCTATCTCACTTTTCTATTTTGCCAAACTCTCTGGATCTGAGATTATTGTTTAATTCTAAGCCATGCGATGAACTGATATAAAATTGAGGATGATAAGGTTCTTGAAAAGTGTCAAGTGTGATGGATGATTAATCAGACATTTTTGCAGGAAACATGTTTGTAAATTACAAAGCAAATGAGGATGTAATAATTTTTTTTTGGGTTCAAGATGTAATGAACCTGTTGGATAATTAATTACATATTGTTTGAACAGCTTTAGTTGTTTATTAGCCTGTATGTTATACTTGGAATTCCTTGTTTATATTTTTATTTTTGTATTTTGATTTTAGACATTGGACTTCCTTCTGGGAAGTCACTTTTTCAACTGCAAGCTGAGCGGATTTTGTGTGTTCAAAAACTAGCCGCACAAGCCAAGAATGAGGGTAAACTTTTCTGTCTGCTGTGCATGATTCTTTTATGCTTGTATGTTATCCTGTTAATTTCATATCTTCAAGTTCAGCAGGCTCAGTGACAATACACTGGTACATAATGACAAGCCCATTTACTGATGATGCAACACGCAAGTTCTTTGAGAATCATAAATACTTTGGTCTTGAAGCAGATCAAGTAAGATCATTTCTGATTCTCTGGTTTCCTCAAGGTTTATCTTTTGTTAATATTACTGACTTCAGTCTGGTCACATTTCAGGTTACCTTTTTCCAGCAAGGCACCAGACCTTGCATTTCAAAGGATGGAAGATATATCATGGAGACTCCATTCAAGGTGTAGTTCTTTTGTGGATGAGCTTGAATTTAGAGTGACATCCTTTTGGCTGAGTAAAGTTCAAGTCGCAATTATGGCTTAACTTAGGATTTGGTCCCTGAACTATACCCATTTTCCTGTTTGGTATCTAAACTCTATTTTGTCCCACTCCTGGTACCTAAACTATTATTCCTTCTCTGCTTACCCTTATGTTTAAGAAACAACTGAAAATGCCAGCCAATAAGTACGTGACGTGGTATATGACGTTATCCACGATTGGATAAGTAGTGGCGCATTGGTATTGACTAAAATTGTGATTTCTTTTAATGCTATTAACTTTTGGGATAAACTGAGATGGAATGAGAGTTTAGGTACCAAAGTGGCCAAAGAAGGTTTAGGTATTAAAGTGGGAAAACAGGTATAGTTCAGGGACTGAATCGTGAACAAAGCCTATAATTAACAATCTCAGCTGTACATATTGTCTTAGAAATTTCAGAGCATTTTTAGGAGGAGTCAGTCCTTAAACTGTTCAACTTGCAATATAACTGATTTGCATCAGATGCTAAGTAATACTATTATAACATCATACCTTCACTTTTGGGTTGAGTATTTTTGTAAATGGATGCTGGTTGCTGAAAAAAGGTCGAGTATAATTTACCTTTCTGTAAGTTTTAGGAGGTAAAGAGTTCCTTTGATTGTAATACATGAAGGTTTTTCATTTGGCTGACCGGTATAATTTTATTTCACAATTTGCTTCCTGTTCTAAGTAGCAAAAATTTTCAACTTTGGTGTTATTTGAGTAAATTTTTTAGCCAGGTAGCAAAGTCTCCAGATGGGAATGGAGGAGTATATTCAGGTATTTTAAGATTAATGCAGAAATAGGCAGTCTTTTCTTTTCAGCTGACTAGTAAAATGTCCTGGTTCCTTCTATTATATGAATATTTAATTGGATTCCTAATTTTTTGTTCAGCTCTGAAATCTTCAAGATTGTTCGAGGATATGGCCACGAGAGGGATTAAATATGTAGATTGCTATGGTGTTGATAATGCATTGGTAAGTTTTTTTCTGTTTTTCTTTGGTTAAAATTTTCCATGTTTCTTTTAAAGAGCCAGTGTCTGGGGTCTCTGATGCAGGTTCGTGTAGCTGACCCAACTTTCTTGGGATATTTCATTGATAAAGGTGCAGCTACTGCTGCTAAAGTCGTGCGAAAGGTAGTTAGTGTTCTCAATTTCCAAGTATATCTGAGAATTTCAGTTATATGAATTGCTTAATTCTTTTTTGACTATACTATTAATATTTGAGACTGGTATTAATAAGCTGGATTGCAACAGTTTGTAGCATTTGTTTGATCTCTGTGTTCTCTAAACTATATGTTAAATGATCTGCTTAACTTTTATTATTCTGTTAGTCACTTTAAATAGAGATCAAAATAATTAAATAAAATTCTATAGAACAAAAAATCTATTTTAAGAGTAACAAACGACTTCTAATGATAATAGAATTGCTTCTATTAGGAGTCCTACCTAGTTACCATAATAAAATATCTGCTTTTGTTAGAGATAAGAGTTTCATGTCCATAATAAAGAAAATGTTATTTTATTGTCAATTTAGTAAATTAATGAAAATAAAGGATATCTTTATTGGTTTAAAAATTTCTCCAAATTATATATATATTATACTTTATAGGTAGATTATAAACTTCAAATCTTTTTAAGGCTTTTATAATGTCTTAATATCTCCTAATAAATGGTTTACAGGCCTATCCCCAGGAAAAGGTTGGTGTTTTTGTAAGGCGTGGTAAAGGTGGGCCTCTCACTGTGGTTGAATACAGTGAACTAGATTCGTCACTGGCTTCTGCAATCAACCAGCAAACTGGACGCCTTCGTTTTTGCTGGAGTAATGTATACTATCTGTCACCAATTTTGATTTAATATTGATTCTTTCTTGCAAAATACATTACTTTTTGATTCAATATGCCTGCATCTTTGGGCTTTTTTATTGCTTTCATGTCAGATGTTTCAGTGTTAAGTTTGTAGGCTTAGTTGGGAGTAGGAGTTGGTACCTGTAAGAGTGCAAAACATTGTTGAAACTATTTCAAGAAAAAGAAGAAATTTGAAGGTCATGGAAACTTTGTGCTGCTTGTGAATCCATGTGAATAGGCTGCACAATTTGTCATAGACTTGATGATTTTTACTGATTTTTTATTTTATAGAAAATTGAGAAGCACTACTAACAGATAATACTTGAGAATATTCAAATTTTAAAACCAACCATGTTTTTTGATGGCAGTTTATTATCCATGTAAACCAGTAAACCACAGGTTTCAATTCGGATTTATCGTGTTGTCAAAAAATGTGAAATTGTAATACCTAGAATACATTTGCATTAATAAATGAATATAAATATTGTGATTATCTTATGCTATTATGGCTTTATGCTTTCCAGGTGTGCTTACACATGTTCACTTTGGACTTTCTCAGCCAAGTGGCAGATGGCCTCGAGAAAGACAGCATGTAAGTGATGTTTTCCTTTCCTTCAAGATGCATGTTTTGATCTGTTACGCCTTGAACATTGTTCTGTCAATTAGTGCTGTTTCTGAGATAATTGTGATATATTTGTCAAATGCAAAATCCATGAGCTGCTTCCTCCTCTCTGCGTGTTTCTCGTTGACCTGAAAACAAACATGATCAATGGGTGTTTGCTGTTTCCTTTACACTTACTTATCAAGCTGTGATGCGGTGAAGGATCAAGTAAACTTGTAGAAGATTTGACTGAGCTATGTTTTTCTGTCTTGAAGAGTATAGTATCTGACATCAGTTATATCTGTTGGTACCTACCTACCAATATAAATAGGATGCGTGTCACTGCTTGTTAAAACCTTCGCACTTATCCCTTAAGGGTGTTAATATTTATACATGTCTGACTGCAGTTACCATGTAGCGGAGAAAAAGATTCCGTGTTTACATGGGTATACAATGGGTTTGAAACTGGAGCAGTTCGTCTTTGATGCATTTCCATACGCACCTTCAACTGCTTTGTTTGAGGTGATCACTTCCCCTCGCTTCTATTTTCCTGCTCCAACTAATTTTTTTCCCTCATCTTCCCCGTCTGTTGAAAATGTAAACAAGGGATTAATTTACTCCGTATTTTTTTGTTTCCAAATTCACAGGTATTACGAGAGGAAGAGTTTGCACCAGTGAAAAATGCCAATGGTTCAAATTATGACACTCCAGAGAGTGCGAGGCTGCTGCTTCTGCGGCTACACTCGCGTTGGGTAGCCGCTGCCGGTGGCTTCTTGACTCATTCAGTGCCATTATATGCAACTGGTAATTCTCATGATTGACATTGCTGCATTAGCATTCATTTTTGTTTTTTTGGGGATTCCAAAGTTTTTGATGGTGTCTCGGTATGCTTTGACATCTTATATGAACCCAGGTGTGGAGGTGTCGCCGCTTTGTTCTTACGCTGGAGAAAACCTGGAGTCCATATGCCGTGGAAGAACATTTCACGCACCCTGTGAAATTGCATTTTAGATTTTGCTTTATCATGTATTTGATTTAGAATACAAGGTACATTGCATGGCATGGATAAGAGTGGATGGAGATGAAGACGTAGGAAATAAAGATATTTTTTGCAATATCTTTCGTCTAAGGCAACACGGATGGATAGATGAAACTCAAACCCCGTGACATTTCGGGCATGCTGTTGTATTCATATTTTGTTATACGCCACGTTAAAACATTTGTGATTGCGTTTATTAATGAGAGAATAAGTCCTACAACATGAAAATGACATTTTTTTACGATTGTCTGATATTAATATTTTGATACAAATTACAATACCCAAAAACAAATCATAACAGGAGACAATTGCGCTTGAAATTCAAATGAAATGACAATATTTGTTCAAGAATAGGGTGATACACCGAGAAGGGGCTCCATCCCAGCCAACTGATGGTGCAGAAACCTATAAACTGCCTCAGTTGTCGTAGAAGCTATGCGAACAACAACACCCATTCCCTGCAAAAAATAACGTTTCCTCAACTTTCACATGCATCAACATTTATTTACAAGATTTCAACATTTTGAGTAATACAAGCACGAGTTCAATGCAATAACACAGCTGATATTGTGTCAGCAAATACCTTAGGACCAAAGGCACTGCAGCATGCGATAAAAGCTGGCCTGATGGAAAAATTATCCGAGTTTGTTTTAGCACGACACCCCGTGTTGGTCGAAGGAATGTGTAATTGCTGAGACATCAGCCTCTTCACATTCTCTTGAACTTGGTCTTGAACAAACTTCAGCTTTGGGCTACAAATAAGTTACTTCTGTCACAAAATCCTTTCAGCATACATGAATTTAATACACCTTAGTAAAATAAAGGACATTGAAGTAACTACCCATAGATTATCATCATTGCTATGACTTGGTACTCGTGCATTCGTTCCGCTATATTCACAGGGCTACATTGTTCTAGCAATACCTATGATTTGAGAAGATAAAAAAGAAAGAACTTAAAAAGGAGGCAAAATCAACGAATGGAAGGGGAACACATTAAGAGGGCATCACAGAGAAAAAACATAAATTATCCACAGGGCACCATTTCTTAAATGCATTATAATCATTAACAGATTAACAGTATAACCAAGGGGAATAATGAGAATATTACAGTGTCGAGAAATACAGGTCGATTGCCTTCATCAAATATGTAGTTGGTGCTCCGATAAAGTTCGAAATCCCATTTCTCCCCACTTTCATGACGACCACTGGTAAACCAATCTACAACGACCAAACTTGAGTCAGACACCAACCTAAACACCTGTTTCTGAGAATATCTTGCGGTGGAAAAACATGTGACTGGATCCGGAATGACTACGAGTAGAGCACCACTACCAATTCTTGCCTACTGCACAGTAAAGCAAAGATTAGCCGTTTCCACTACAAGCATTCATCTAAACGAACTCAAAATGTTGAATCCTTCTCTAAAAACTTGTCACACGAATAAGATTTTAGTGTAAATTAGTGATTATTCATCAATCTCGGGTTTAGGGTTTAGGAAGGATAGTTACCTCCAAGAATTGCTCAGAACACTTGGATCCCAATGACTTGTAGACCTAAACCAGATCAGACGTGAAACTAATCAATTCAGTCAAAACCCAGTTTGTATATCGCAAAGACAAACGGATTAGAAGATAAAGATCAAACCTTTGTGGAGGATTGGGTAGTAAGAACAGAAGTGCAGCCATCTCCGATTGTAAATTCAACTGAAATAGAATCTCCCTAACATGGAACAATTATAAACATTCATCCCAACACAAAAAGAAACAAGAAAATGATACAAAGACTGATGATCGAGTTGTACCGAGACAATGCCACCGCCATAGGTGAGGGTGTAAATCCAGACAGCATCGGTTTCGGAAGGACCCACCTGAGGAATCAATCAATCAATCATCAGCTTCAGTAGAGAGGAATAAACAAAGACATTTAATCTTTTGTGATGTGAGAAAGGGAGAGAACCTTTCTGGGGAAAATGAGTTTAAGTGGATAATTTGAGAAGCTTCTTGTTACTGTTGACTTTCCCCTCACCTTCTCCACTACAACCTTTCCCTTCCCCATTCCTGCTTTCTTCTTACCTTTCCGTTTATTAATTCCCATTTATCATGAAATTGCAAACTCTGGGCTTTGTTAAACCCATAATCTTAGAAGGGCTGCTTTGTGTTCTTTTAATAAACTAATTTAAATCGAGTACGGTAGAGATTTTATACAAAGACAATTTTTATAACCTTTAATTATATCATTTGTATTGAGTTATACTAAAACATTTTTTGAAATATTTTATCATTATAAAATATTATTTCATTTGTTCTATTTCACTAATATTGTTTAAAAAAATTCATGAACCAATCAGAACACGTAATGTAATCTCTTAATTTTTATTTTTTTATCTAAATAAATAAAAAACTAACTAATAAATAAAATTATATAATATGTCAAAAATACCCCTCCTCCTCCTCCTCCTCCTTCACCTTCACCTTCACCGTCACCGTCCACCTTCCCATCCCCCAACACCAACACCCGTTTTTCCTTCTTTTCTATCAATCTTGCTCTTCAGTGGCTTAAGAAAAGGATAATCCCAGAAAATATAAAAAAATTCTCGCAAACCAAACACTGCTAAAGCTTTGATTTTTCGTATGGATATTTCCACTTAAACACCTTTCTCCAAAACCCAGAAACCCTTTCCGCCTATTCCTCTATTACGAGGGGTTTTGATTTAGAAAAATGCGATCTTGTTTTGAATCAAGATAACCATAGCTCTGCCATGGATGAAGGTGAAGAAGAATCTTTTGCTGATTTGATGCTTTGCGACTCTAATTCAAGGCTGATCTCATCTGGGTTTTCAAAATCTAATATCACGGGTAAGTAAAATTTCTTGATTTATTTTTCTTGTTAAGCTCGTAACAATTGAATTAATAATAGAACTTGTGAAAAAAGGAAATTAAAATTCATTTTCTAGGCATGTTTTCGAGTAAGTAAGGCTTTTGGTGATTCAATTATACATGGATTTTTTAAAATCTTTTTTAAGCATATAAAGGATTCAGGAAGTGTATTAGATAATACAAAAGGAAATAGAACAAATCTAACCCCAACGACAATCATTCATGTAAAAAGCATAAACCCCATTAATACAAACCATGCCATGATTTCTTCCTCAGTTAGCTTGTACGAAGGTGGATTGGGTGGAAAGAAGACGAACTTGGCAGCCATTGATGATGTCACCCCATCCATGTTTTCTTCCTCAGTTTACTCCCGAGCTTCGCAAAATTATTGGGGTTTTTGGACTGAAACATGGAATCAAAGGCAGACTAATAAAGATGCAATTTTTTTTATGTTGATGGAGTTAAATGAGTGATGGAGAGGGTAAAGAAAGTTGGGGAGTGATTAGGGTACAGAATGGAGAAGAGGAAAATAGACGGGCTGGTGTTGGGGAATGGGAGGGTGGACGGTCGTGGAGGAGGAGGGGTATTTTGGACATATTATATAATTTTATTTTTTTAATTGATATTTATTTATTTAGATAAAGAAAATTAAAATTAACGGGTGATGTGCCATGTTTTGATTGATCTGTGAGAATTTTTTAACGGTGTTAACGAAATGGGATAAACTAGATAATAATTTATAGTCAAGGGATAAAACGTTCTAAAAAATATTTTAGGAATAACTCGATATAAATATATAATTCAGAGGATAATGAGACATTTAAACCTAATTTAATTTAGTTTATTTATAAACGTGAAGATTCAAACATTTTATCTTATTTCAAAAACAATTTATATTTATTCTTTTTTAGATGATCATAAGTTAAGAATTCAAAATTTGGCTTTTATATATATGAATTTATCTGAAATTTAAAAGAATTTACATAAAAAATATTATATTTGTATAACTTAAAGATTCCAAGTTTAACATTTAAAGTTCAAACTTAATCGGATTTTTTAATTTATAACATATTTGCATTACTTTATTTTTATATATCATATGAAAAATCAACTTTACAATATAATATTAAAAGATAAGCATTAAAAAATATGTTAAATTGTTGACTAAACCTATGTTTGCTTTTATCAACTCCGGTGATCCATCAAGGTCAAAGGTGATAGCTCCGGCCAATATATATAACTTCAGATATCTCATTCTATTATTTTGGTGAACTAAAAGGAGCAGTACAAACCCAACGTTTATCAGTTGTTAAGCTTACAGCCATATAAATTGCACAACATTGCAGCATCCTCAAGTTGAATCCATGGAGTAATGCAAGTGCAAAATCATCAATGCTTAATGTGCCTCACATTTGTGAAAACCAACGAAACACTGTACTTGTTACAACAATAGACGGCATCCCCGTCTCTAATGCTCCCACCAGGCTCTGCAATGACTCCGATCCCTCTTTCACATGCTTCTTCCATTCCAAGCTATTAATACGAAACATATTCGTTAGCAAACAGGTTATGTAGGCCAAGCAATTGCACGCATTCACTTTTATACTCGTAACAACATAAAGGCGCAAAAACTTTTCGAGGTCGTAATTACCAAGCGGGAAGAATGCATCGCTAGCCAAAGCAGCTCCCTTGACCTCATCTCCTGCTTTCCTGAAAGCTATTCTCAAACTCTCGCGACGGTTTGGCTGCCTGCTTCCCATACCCAACATACAGTTGTCCTGCGAAATAATAATAATGTCCAAGGCTCAGTAAATTATCCCAGCTTTTTTCAAGAGGAAAAGGGGAAATAACAAACCTTGCTATTACAATAGCGTTGCTCTTGACATGCTTGGCACACAGCCATGCAAATTCTGCATCACGAAGCTCACTATCTTGTGGACTCTTCTCGGATACCACGTTGAACTGGATATCTTCAGGGGTCAAGTCATCTGAATCCTGGGCCGACTAACCAACCACCAACCTGTCGTAGTGAGAGCTTCCCTTTCTCGTTCTTTTTTGCTTCAAGGATTCTCAATGTTTTTGACTTTCAACGGAGGATATCAAGTCCCTTCTCTGTATACTTGGGAGCCACAACGATCTCATAAAACATCCGAGTTTCACCATCCGTTGGGCTCCGGAACTCTCTGATTTCCTTAGCAAGAGCCTAAATCCAAAACAGCGTAAAAAACGGTACCTTGTCTTGATTTTGAAGGTAGCATACGGATAAGATGATTTTCGACGTGTGATACAAAGACCTCACAGATGCATACAAGGATTCCAAAAAAAAAACTTATCAACTTGCCTCATCTACATCTATGTTGAAGGCTACAATTCCTCCACATGCACTCACTGGATCAGCTTTCACAGCAAGCCTGTAAGCCTCAAGGATGTCATCACGAGAAGCTACCCCACATGGATTTGTGTGTTTTACAATCACACTTGTAAGGTTCCTAAACTCAGAGACGCAATTCCAAGCAGCATAGGCATCCAAATAGTTATTATACGACATTTCCTGCACCAAGATAAAAAAGACAAGGCTATGTTAGGGAATAACACAGCTGGGAACTAAATCGGAAACGAATATAATCATAGCATTCCAATTTGCGAAGGATTTCATGTCCTTAACCACCAAAGCGAAAAGGACAGAAACAAAACAAGACACTCTTCGACATAAGCAACAATATAAATTCTACCCGTGTTTGCATGATAAGAACCAAATTGAAAAAAAAAATAGTAAGACCGACTGAAAAATCTAATATCCCGTAACTGAGTTTATCAGCAGAGCAAGCTGGATAAAAAAAATAGTAAAAGCAAATACTTTCTTGGAAAAGAAAACTATGAAGGAATGTGGAATGTAGTTAGTGTGCAAATGTATAAGCTGGTATGAAGTTAGGTGTAGTCAGTTAGTTAGTTGCTGAAGTTGTTAGGTTGTTGTAAGTAGTTATGGATCCTTGTATATAATGGTGTAAGTACTATGAATAACATAGAGCATATTACTCTTCAATGATCATTCATATCGTGCATCTAACGGTATCAATCGCCATAAGTCCTGGAGAGGTTGTTTCTGCTGCAAGAAGTTTCGGTGTTCATGGCTGCTGTTGATTCACAATCACTTTCGAACAGAATCAAGATGTTCACTAACAAAAAGATTAATGTTGTGCTTGATGAAACGAATTTCTTGCTTTGGAAGCAGCAAGTGCTTCTCACAGTAAGAAGTCACCGGCTTGAATGGTTGCTCACCGATGCGTTTAAGCCTCCACCAGAATGCCTGACTGCTGAAGATGGGACGATGGTTCCAAAAGAAGACTATGAAGACTTTATAGCTCAAGATAGTGCGTTAGCATCGTGGTTGCTCGATTATCAGTACGCATTTACTCTCGCAATTCGTTGGAGCAGAAACTGCATCTGCAGTTTGGAACACAGTATTACAGATCTTTGCCACTAGGTCGTCCACAGCTGTGATGAACCTTCACTGTAAACTACAGTCTCTCAAAAAAGGAGAAGAAAGCATGCGTGTCTACTTGTCTCGGGTTAAAGAAACCTGTGATGCCCTAGCATCCTGTGGCAGTTAAACGCATCCTGAGGTATTTGGTTGGCACACTTAACCATGGCCTGGCTATAACACCGTCCAGTGCTGGACTGAGTATTGTGGCCTTTGCGGATGCTAATTGGGGTGGGAATGCAGATGATCGAAGGTCTGTCTCAGGCAACTGTGTGTTTATTGGTGAGAATCTGGTTATGTGGAGCTCTAAGAAACAAAAGTCTGTTTCCAGATCCACTATGGAGGCCGAGTATAGGAGCGTGGTTGATGTTACTGCCGAGACAAAGTGGATAAGTGCTCTACTATCAGACATGGGAATGTTGCAACCTAAAATACCTATAGTGTGGTGTGATAATAATAGTGCAGTAGCCATTATTGCAAACCCAGTGTATCATGCTAAAACAAAACACGTTGAACTTGATGTTCATTTCATTAGAGAAAAAGTGGCTGCTAGACAGGTTTTGATTAATTATGTGCCTGCTAGTCATCAAGTTGCAGATGGCTTGACCAAGCCTTTGTCTGCAGCACAGTTTCAGATGTTTCGAGCAAAGGTTTGTGTTCAGTCGTTTCTTGGAGGAGAAGGCAAAAGTGGGGAGAATGTGGAATGTAGTTAGTGTGCAAATGTATAAGCTGGTATGAAGTTAGGTGTAGTCAGTTAGTTAGTTGCTGAAGTTGTTAGGTTGTTGTAAGTAGTTATGGATCACTTGTATATAATGGTGTAAGTACTATGA